AGCTCTTGCTTGCATGTGCACAGATTCATTGGACTTGGTCACTCCCTTTTCTTCCTGTTCTTTTTTTTGTCTTTCTTTAAATGCGCCGTTGCCGGGGACTTAGTCACTCCTCTCTTTTTTTCGTGTTTTTGTACAACAAAGACTTCTTATAAATAGTAATCATCGACAAGAGTGGTTCAGTAGGGGTAGCGGTCGAAATTAAATTCATAAATACATTATGCCCTACCAAAAGATCTTATAAACATACAAGTCTAATCAAAAAAAAAAATTAAGGCCTCACTTCAAGAAAGAACCCATAATTTATAGGTTTGCAATAATAGTCTAACCAAAAAATTTAAATCCATGAACAAACAAAAGATTTCAGTTTAAATAGATTGGACCTATAATTTACCTGTGAAATTAAAATTTATTTTGTTTAAATAAAGAAAAAAATAATTGTAAAATTAAAATTACTAAAAAATCTATTTCTAACTCTGAAAAATTTAAGTTTAAATTTACCATCATAATTTTTCAATCATTATTTCTCTCTCTTACCATTAAGTTCAAATATGATAACAAAAGATTGAACATAAAATTTAATTAATATTTTTGTATTTAAAAAAATTAAAAATTCAATTTATTATCAATATTAAAAATAAAAAAGTTTTATTTCTCGTTTCTGCTTTAAGTCCCAAAATGTCTTGAGCCAACCCTGGGCCGAACTTCTTACTTTAAGGTTGAAGGTTCAAGTCTTGGAGTCCACATTAAAGATTGGTGGTTAACTGTTATGTCAACCTACCTGGATTTATTTCCGAGAAGAGTAATGCACACGGTCAACAATCTAATAATCCTACCAGGGCCTTTCTGGGTGGCCTCTGGGCATTCTACTTTACCTCTATCCATTTTTCCAATTGGGAAAAAAAAAGACTTCTTAGCAATAGTATTTGTGGTATTTTTCTATATAAATTCCTAGACCCTACAAGAAGAAAATACGCCTCTAATACATCTCTCATCTTCCAAATATCTATGTGCTACCCCATCTCATTTCCATGTGGATTACAAATCAACAGCTTTCCCTACCAACACCTAATCCGGAATCTATGTCTGATAACTGCCTAATCCATTTCTTTGGCTCCAAAGATATAAACCGGTGGAATCTATGCTGTTTTTACTAATCTATTTTCTTTATATCAATAAAATCCGTTATGATAAAAACAAAATTAAAATAAAATCCGTTAAAATTGTGGTATTATAGTATAAGTATATATAATCACGGGTACTAATGTTGTTAATTCGGGTGTTGGTCAATATATGCAGTCAAAATAAAACTTTTCTTCCTACGAGCACCTTTTAATTCAGCTCAAGTGAAAAACCATTCTCCCACTCAAACATGGGTCCTCATCAGCATTAGACAAGGAAACTATTATATAGCTCATCAATGTACCTTAGATCTCAATTATGTGCATGTGCAAAGATTTATTGGACTTGGTCATTCATTTTTCTTCATGGTTCATGTACAACAAAGACTTCTTAGTAGTAGCAGTAGTTTTTCTATAAAAAGGCCAAGACCGTAATCAAGGGCGAAGTCAGGATTTTGTTTTAGTGGGTGCAAAAATATAAACGAAAAAGATTAATCAATTGGTATACAAAATTCTCCTCCACCTCTAATAATAAGGATTATTAAATTTTGCAGAATTTTTTTTTTTTAAGTTCAACTATGAGCAATATATTAACATAATTNAGGATTTTGTTTTAGTGGGTGCAAAAATATAAACGAAAAAGATTAATCAATTGGTATACAAAATTCTCCTCCACCTCTAATAATAAGGGTTATTAAATTTTGCAGAATTTTTTTTTTTTAAGTTCAACTATGAGCAATATATTAACATAATTTATATAAAAATAAATCAATTTAGCATTTAAGAAAATATGAACAAACAAGAATAATAATTTTTTTATTGACTAATTTCAACTCAATCATATATTCAAGAGAAACACGACGATATTATTTAAAATCTCAAAAATCGTCTATAACTAACCAATTATACGGTAAATTTTTAAGTAATATCCTTTTAACCTTGTTCAGAAATTAATATTTTTAGAATGGTTATGTTGTTTTAAATCTAAAAAATGTCTGTAATTAATCAATTTTATGATAAATTTGTAAGTAACTTTTAAATCTTGTTGAGAAATTGATATTTTTGAAAGGGCATAAATGTGCATAACTTATCATTTGCATCTATTTGTATGTTATTATACAATTATATTAAAAAATTTGAGAAATTGTATTGAATAAGAGAGATATTGTATTTGGCTAATATATATATATAATGAGTTAAAGAATCACACATCCTTTTTACCACTTATTTTAATAAAAAAAGCTTTTTTTAGTAGATTAGGAGAACAAGTGAACCACTAACTTATTGAAGACAAAAAAGACAAGGGCCACTATTTAAATTTTCAAATATTTTAAGGGGGACAATGAGATAAATTGAACATAAATTCATTGTCATATCAANTTAATAAAAAAACCACTTAGGGCCACTATTTAAATTTTCAAAGATTTTAGGGGGGCAATGAGATAAATTAAACATAATTTTATTGTCATGTAAATTTATATAATTCATCCCTCAAAAGTCAGTGGGGGCAGTTGCCCCACACCAATACATGTAGCTCTGTTCTTGCCACCATCACCCACCATTATCATCAGTCATTGTCATCTACCCCACCACACTTACCATCACCATCTATCATCGCCCACCATTGCAGCCACCCACTATCACCTACTCTCACCACACTTACCATCGTCGTCATTCACCATCACCCATCGTCGCCCATCACCACCACTGCCAACTACCATCACTGTCATTCACCATCACTCACACCCATTACTACCACCATTGCTATCCATGGCTATCATTACTATCATCGTTACTCAAAACTCACCACAATCATCACTATTGCCACCCACAACTGTTACCACCACCACGGTCGTTGTTTTACCCACTACAACTATCACCATCTCCCACCATCACCACTATTGCCCACCACCACTACCAATATGTTGACCATTTTTTTTTACACCGTGTCTTTAGGCACATGAAATAACTAGTCTATATCTATAATATAAAACATGACAGATTTTAATAAGTCTATTCGACGATTTTNTATTTTTTTTTACTCCGTGTCTTTAGGCACATGGAATAACTAGTCTATATCTATAATATAAAACATGACAGATTTTAATAAGCCTATTCGACGATCTTAAATAGACTTATCTAACGGTTACTATCATCTCTATCAAAACTATTTATATTGCACCATGCCTTCAAGTACAGGTTACCCTTAGGTTACTATAAATAACAGAATTGGTATCCACACACACAAAGTATTTTCTTTCATTTAGAACCCATTGAACTTGTGGGTCTTAACTAGTGGAATCTAAATAAAACTATAGATGATTGAACTTGATTTAATTACTACTGAGGTGGTGGTTTAGTGGTAAGTTGTACCTGTTTAGGATCGTCATTAACTTCTATGGAGTTATCAAACAAGGTTTGATTTATGGGAATAACGTAGTTTATTAGTTGACTTTGATTGTACTGTAGGGACGAGTTATCTTTCTGAGTTAATAGTTATAATTCAAACTGAACATTCTATAGTAAAAAAATTCTCTATGGGAAAAAACTCTCATAGTCACGCCTAAGGAGTTACTCTCGCCCCTCCCTTTTCTCCAATAAAAAAAACTTGATATTGAGGGATTTAGATATAATACATATTATGACATCAGAAATAATTCGATTCAGTTGGTCTAAAGCCCATGCATATAGACACTTGGCCTATAAACAGACTGATGCCAACTCAATTAGTTCTTCCAACTTCCAAGTTCGTGGGGAAGACACCTTCCTACCAGGGAACCACATCCTGAAACTTGGATTCCGGTACATATTTAGTTTTACAGTATCCCAACAAATAACTTCTATTAAAAATTTGACAAAAAATTATTTTCACTTTAAACCCGAATTATATAATTTTGTTTCGCTTTGCCTTGACTCGACTCGTTGACATTTTCCATCCAAAAATAACGAATGTTTGTATTTTGTGTAATGTGAAATCAATTCACATAGTCGAGGCAATATGATAAATTTAATAGTTAAGAGAAGAAACGTGACATAAACTTGATAATTTGTGGGGAAAAGGTGTGAGGGAATAATGTACATAAACTCCTATCAACTCTCCCGTTTGACTGTGTTTAGAGTATCAAACTCTATTTTTCACATTTATATTAAAGGGGGCACAGTGATACAAACCTCATAGTTTGAGGAGACAAAGAAGAGCCAACAAATAAATGCACTAGCAAATAACTCACTCGGNAGATAAAAAGTGTAATATATTAAAGGGGGCACAGTGATACAAACCTCATAGTTTGAGGAGACAAAGAAGAGCCAACAAATAAATGCACTAGCAAATAACTCACTCAGCCTTTCATGAATATGAATGCATTTAATTCAGTATGTACCCTACCCTTTCTAAAAGTTTCTCACTCACTCACTCAACTTCAGTACCAACGGAGGAAAAAAGGGTAACAGCCCAATGTAGAAACAGAGATTCATGGAGGATTTTCATTCTAACGGCTACATATCTTTTGAAAACTACTGTGTAATAAACCTAACGAAAACATCTCGTGAAAACTAAAATGCTGCACTTAAGCTCCTCAAGAAACCCAAGCTCTCTCTCTCACACACTCGACAAAGGATCCTCGTGATGAAGAGCTCTTAAATTTCACGAGTTTCCTCTTCTATTTCAGAGAGCTTCAGACATGCCTCCCAAATCTTGTTTTTGAATTCTCTTCGGCACCTTCAAATACCCTCCCAGTTCGTTCCAAGAAACNTTTCAGAGAGCTTCAGACATGCCTCCCAAATCTTGTTTTTGAATTCTCTTCGGCACCTTCAAATACCCTCCCAGTTCGTTCCAAGAAACATGAATCAGAATTATTCAAGCATCTCTCACTCGATACTTCCATGGAGGCCAAAACCCAACTCTTTTTTTCCACCCTCTTGCTCCACTTTGTTTCCCTCCATGCTCAGAGTCTCCAGACTTACATAATTCAACTCCACCCTCAAGCCATAACCAGCTCTTCCTTTTCCTCTAAGCTTCAATGGCACCTCTCATTTCTTGAAAGAACTATTTCCCCTGAAGATGATCCGTCTTCTCGCATGTTATACTCATACCTTTCAGCTATGGAAGGTTTTGCAGCTCAGCTATCTGAAACTGAGCTTCAAGTTCTACAAAAGTCACGAGATGTGATAGCAATAAGGCCTGACCGGANTACCTTTCAGCTATGGAAGGTTTTGCAGCTCAGCTATCTGAAACTGAGCTTCAAGTTCTACAAAAGTCACGAGATGTGATAGCAATAAGGCCTGACCGGAAGCTCGAAATTCACACTACATACTCTTACAAGTTCTTGGGACTGAACACTGCTGTAAAGGGTGCTTGGTTCAAGTCCGGGTTTGGTCGAGGAGCAATAATTGGGGTACTTGACACAGGAGTTTGGCCAGNGAAGCTCGAAATTCACACTACATACTCTTACAAGTTCTTGGGACTGAACACTGCTGCAAAGGGTGCTTGGTTCAAGTCCGGGTTTGGTCGAGGAGCAATAATTGGGGTACTTGACACAGGAGTTTGGCCGGAGAGTCCAAGCTTTGAGGATCATGGGATGCCCCCGGTGCCCCAGAAATGGAGAGGGATTTGTGAAGAAGGGCAAGGCTTCAATTCTTCAAATTGTAACAGGAAAGTCATTGGTGCCAGGTTCTTCAGCAAAGGCCATCACGTGGCTTCAATGTCAACATCATTAGGTATTGTTCAGGAATATGTGTCGCCACGGGATTCCACCGGACATGGGACCCATACCGCCTCCACTGCTGCTGGTGTTCCAGTTCCAATGGCCAGTGTGTTCAGTAATGGAGCTGGTGAGGCTCGGGGGATGGCGCCTTATGCCCACATTGCCATTTACAAGGTTTGTTGGTTCAATGGTTGCTACAGCTCTGATATTCTGGCTGCAATGGATGTTGCCATCAGAGATGGAGTTGATGTCCTCTCATTGTCTCTAGGTGGCTTCCCAATACCACTTTACGAGGACAGCATTGCCATTGGTAGTTTTCGAGCAATGGAGCACGGAATATCAGTCATATGTGCTGCTGGAAACAATGGTCCAATTCCAAGCTCGGTTGCCAATCAGGCTCCTTGGATTGCAACGGTTGGTGCTAGCACACTTGATCGAAGATTTCCTGCAATAGTACAACTGGGAAATGGAAAATACCTTTACGGAGAATCCTTGTATCCAGGAAACCATGTTTCTGGTGCAGTGAAAGAGCTTGAGCTGGTTTATCTAACTGGAGGGGATAGGGGAAGTGAATACTGTTTCAGAGGGTCTCTTCCACGGGCAAAAGTTCGTGGAAGAATGATAGTTTGTGACCGAGGTGTCAATGGGAGGGCAGAAAAAGGCCAGGTTGTGAAGGAAGCTGGTGGTGCTGCAATGATTCTAGCAAATACAGATATAAATTTGGAGGAAGATTCTGTTGATGCTCATGTCCTGCCAGCAACATTGGTTGGCTTCAAGGAATCAATTCAGCTGAAGAGTTACATAAATTCTACACTGAGGCCTAGAGCCCGAATCTTATTCGGGGGAACTGTAATTGGGAAATCCAGAGCCCCAGCAGTCGCTCAGTTTTCATCAAGGGGACCAAGTTTCACTGATCCTTCAATTCTCAAGCCAGACGTGATTGCTCCGGGGGTCAACATTATCGCCGCTTGGCCTCAAAACTTGGGACCAACCGGCCTACCAGAAGATCATAGGAGGGTGAACTTCACTGTCATGTCTGGAACTTCCATGGCTTGTCCCCATGTTGGTGGGATTGCTGCACTGATCCACTCGGCTCATCCCGAATGGACCCCAGCTGCTATCAAATCTGCACTTATGACAACTGCAGATATGACCGATCATTCAGGAAAACCAATAATGGATGGAAACAAACCTGCTGGACTTTTTGCCATTGGAGCTGGACATGTAAATCCAGAAAGAGCAATGAATCCAGGACTGATATATGATATCAGGGAAGAGGAATACATCACTCATTTATGCACTCTTGGATACACGAGATCACAAATTTTCACCATTACTTACAGGAACGTGAGCTGCCATGATACTATGCAGAAGAACATGGGCTTTAGCCTCAATTACCCCTCCATTTCTGTGACTCTGAGGCCCATGATGATGAGTAAGATGATTAAGAGGCGACTGACAAATGTAGGGATCGCTAATTCCACTTACTCAGTGGAAGTGGTAGCACCTCAGGGAGTCAAAGTAAGAGTTAAACCACGGCGACTGATATTCAAACACACTAATCAAATTTTGAGTTACAGAATTTGGTTTATATCGAGGAAGAGAACAGGGGCAGAGAAGGTGAACTTTTCTCAAGGGCACGTGACATGGGTGAACTCTGGCAATAGATTCTGCAGGGTTAGGAGTCCTATCTCAGTGACATGGGCATCAAAGAAGTAGTAGAACTCAAACTAGTATCAGCTTTAATTCCTTCATTCTTGTTCACGATGATAAAGAGGATGAATTTGTAATTTTAATTTCAACAGGAGGTTGCAGCATGTCTCAGAAACTAAGGGTCTTTATCAGTTGATAAATATTTGAAGTCCATTATATAAATTCTACACAATGTGTGGGCTTAAAGACATAATTTTCAAGCTTTAAATTCTTATTCTACTGCTTTTGTCACAGCAATAATCCTTGCCTACCTACCACCCTATTTATTGCATTCAATCATAACATATGTAAAGACACACACCAAAACACGCACATACCCAATAAGTAATAATACAACAGTAGAACTTTTGAACGGAAGCATTCATTCGGCAACGAGCAGTTGAGCACCATCACTTCAATAAAATCTAATTGAATTTGTAGGAAGATGGAATGAAAAGTTTAATACTANATTGCATTCAATCATAACATATGTAAAGACACACACCAAAACACGCACATACCCAACAAGTAATAATACAACAGTAGAACTTTTGAACGGAAGCATTCGGCAATGAGCAGTTGAGCACCATCACTTCAATAAAATCTAATTGAATTCGTAGGAAGATGGAATGAAAAGTTTAATACCACCAGGACCTCGTCATGCTTAAATTTCGGAAAACGGACATTGGAAGAGCAACAACATAAATTCTCAGTAAATGCTTTGCCAGTGCTTCAAAGTACAGTAGAAGCTAACTCAATCTTTCAATGTGCAGTAACTAGTGAGCTGTGTGCTACTCGCCATGCTTTTTTTTTTTGTTTACCCCTTACATAAAATAATATATATATATTAGCGATACCTCGTGACCGAAAACAATGAATATTAANAAGTACAGTAGAAGCTAACTCAATCTTTCAATGTGCAGTAACTAGTGAGCTGTGTGCTACTCGCCATGCTTTTTTGTTTTGTTTACCTCTTACATAAAATAATATATATATATTAGCGATACCTCGTGACCGAAAACAATAAATATTAAATTATGACACTATACGTGTATTGTAGTGTGTGTGTATAGCTAGAGTGTATATATAATGTGCGTGTGTAGTGAGTGTGTATTGGAGTATGTTTAGTTATGTGTTGTAGAGTATTTGTATTGAGTTTGTGAAATTTGGGGCGAAAAATATACCCCTCATAAATTCAAACACTTAACTATCTTATATATATATATATATATATATATATACCAACTGGTCAAAATTTGGTACAGTACCGAAAAAAATGCGTGATCCTCAATATTTGTCATTAAATATTAAAAAGTTATTCATGTGATAACTTTGCCAATAAAAGTTGTACCATTTTTTTAAAGGTTGTAACCCTCAACCATTTTTTTTTGTGGTACTTTTATTTTTACTAATCGTAACTTAACCTTAAATAGTTATAACTTCATATTCAAATATAGTAATTTTACCATAAATAGTTATAATTTTTCCTTTCAAAAATTATAATTTTACTTTTAATTGTTATAACCTTACCTAAAGAGTTTGTACATCATTTTTACAGATGATAATTTTATCTCAAGAGTAATAATTTGTCTTTGCAAGTAGTAACATTACATTTAATAGTTATGATCGATCATGATTAATTACAATCGATTCCAACGACAATTTTTTTTTTTTTTGGGATTTCACTCAATTAAGGTCGATCATGATTAATTAAGATCGATCTCAATGCTAATTTTTTTCTGCGATTTCACTCAATTAGGATTGATCATGATTAATTAAGATCGATCCCAAATGCCAAATTATTATTATTATTTTTTGCAATTTCACTCAATTTGGATCGATTATGACTATATGAGATTGATTTTAATGCATTTGATGGTCCAAAAATTGGAACCAAATTAAATTTATGGTGGTTCCAATTAAATAGGATCGATCACAACTAGTCGAACTTTNCAAATTAAATTTCTGGTGGTTCCAATTAAATAGGATCGATCACGACTAGTCGAACTTTTTTTTTTCCTGAACTGGTCCCGGTCCTATATTTAATTACATTAAATTGACATGTAATTTCATAAAATTAATTAACATTTTATGCATTAATTTTAATCTTATGAATTTTAAATTAATGTTAATTCATAATTAAATATAGGATCAGGACCAACTTAGGAAAAAAAAAGTTCGACTAATCGTGATGAATCCTATTTAATTGAAACCACTAGAAATTTAGTTTGGTCCCAATTTTTGGACTATCAAATGCATTAAGATCGATCTCATATAGTTATGATCAATCTTAATTGAGTGGAATCGCAAAAAAAATATTGGCATTGGAATCAATCTTAATTAAAGATCGATCCTAATTGAGTAAAATTCCAAAAAGAAATAAAATTTGGCATTAAGATTGATCTTAATTAATCATGATCGATCGTGACTAATAAATGTAATGCTACTACTTGCGAAGACAAAATTATTACTTTTGAGATAAAGTTATCATCTTTAAAGGTGAGGTACAAACTCTTTCAGTAAGATTACAACAATTAAAAGTAAAATTATAATATTTGAAAGTGAGGTTATAACTATTTATGATAAAATTACTATATTTGGATATGAAGTTATAATTATTTAAGATTAAGTTATAATTAATAAAGGTAAAAGTATCACAAAAAAACTGCGACTAAGATTAAAACCTTTATCACTGAATAAGTTTTTAATATTTATTTTCCGAAATTTTTTTTTTAATATTTAATGACAAAAATTGAAGGCCGCACATTTTTTTCGATACTATTCCGAATTTTGACCGATTGGTACTATAGCCTCCCCCATATTTTTGCAGCAGTACAACAGAACAGAGTCATAGACAAGTCCATCAATCACAAGCAAGCTGTACAGAACTGCCTATTAAAGGAAAGTGATTTGAATATCACCAAAAACCAAAGTGTCTTTAATGAGAGGGTACATAGATAGTTCTTGCACTACTTTGACCAAGGAATCTACATAGTTATTTAACTATAAAGTTCCATTTATCTTAGAAGAGAATGGTGTCGGCAGAAAAAAAATGGAGGGGTGGACGATATACATTGCTTCATTTTTGGAACTGCGAGCCATGTCCATGAATCTCAGGAACCTGTCCCAAAGTTAAGTACCTTTGCACCAGTGAATTACTGTACCCGAGTAGGACCCTTAATGAAAATGAGTTGTCTTGTCTGTGCTCCCTTGGAGACCTCGTGACATACTTTGCTTCAATCCCTGAAGGCTTTCCATTGATGAACTTGGCATTAACGTCAACCGATGGAAGAATCCTTTCCTCATCAACCATGTAGAAGCCATATCGCCAACTTCGCTAAATGAATCGAAAACAGAGGGTTGATCAAACCTGAATATAGTCATACCACTAGTATCGTCCCTAGATAGGTTAGCCTCACGCCTGGTATTGTCTGTTCATCAGTGCCTATGAACTGAATTGTTGACCATGATTATGCTGAGTCTAGACATCTGAGAACTTCGGTTTTGAGAAGTCCAACTTGAATGGGGTATGGACAGAGGCTGGCCACTGAATTGACAGCGTGCACTCTGACGGATTATGCTAGATGCCATGCCTACATGGCGTGAACCTGTATTACTGGTACTAAATTTAAATTATAACCACTAACCAATTTCTCATTGGTACACCCTTCAATCTGTTATACAAGTTTCAAACTCTAAGGTGTAAGGGTGTCTTGGGAGAAGGTAAAGAATGGCAATGCACCTAAAATTTTATAATGGGGATATTCTTAGCTTGTCAAAATTGAAATGTGTTTTATTCTTTATAAACAAGGTATCACCATCTCAAATCAGTCTGTGAATTTGATAGATGTGTGCTTCATCCTCTCGCGTGGTGGAAGCCTGATATATATTTCCTCCGTTCTTAAATATCTATCGTTTTACACAATTTTTTTTGTTCCATAATATCTGTCGTTTAATGAAACCAAAGTATAATTATTTTTTTTTTTTTTCAAATTTACCCTTTAACTTTTTAATGCATTAGATTAGACAGAAGTTAAGTATCTTTCATATTCCTTTTCTTCCCAATACGTATTGGATAAAGATATTTTACTTTTGTGAAATTATTTTTTACTCATATTAGAGCTATTTAATAACTTCTTTAATGCTTGTGTAAAAACCTTAAACGACAGATATTTAAGAACGAAAAGTGTAATGACTTTGCCCACTGAAACAATGATCTACATCACTAACTTTAATTTGTCTTTTTGTTCTTTCCAAATGATCGCTACAATTCCATCATTTCTTTGTAGAAGCAGAAAAAAAAGCATGAGTCGCACTTAATTTCTATATTGCAGAAACCCAAAAGAGAAAAACCAAAACCTCATTGATGAAAGAAATCATGCAACTTAGTGCCACAAAGATTGTTCTAGGGAACTGAAGCACCATATTGATAATTCACTTCATCTTCTAACATTGGTATATCCTCCTACATGATTTTGTTTGAATTGCAGAACGATAGAGCCTATGTGGAAAGTCCAGATAAAAGAAATCTTTGATTTCATTTTAGTGGGATCATCCACATATGGAACTGCACCAACTGTTGGGAAAATAGGCTTTCTCACAAGTGTAAATCAATGGAAGCAATATAAATAAAATAACAGAAAATAAATAAGAGCACAAGATTTACGTGGTTCCCTCAAATAACTTGAAGTACATCCACGACGACCGGTAGGTCAGTTTCTTCCACTATCACCAAATCAGATTACAAAGTGGCCAAAAGGCATAAGCCTTACAAACACACCAAGGTGTAAATCACAAGAGGAAAATACCTCACAAAATAAGTGAACCAAATCTCCAAGAACAAACCGCAAGAAACCCAAATATCAAGTGAAGAAATGTTACCCACTTGAAGAACAAATTTGCAGATTTTTCTGGCACCAAAAAGGAGAAGAAGAAGGCTGAATTTTTGTTGAACCAAAGACTGCCGAAAATATGTCTTCTTGCCAAACCAACAGAGAAAAGATGAACCAAAGAAAAGGACAAAACTTATAGTCTTTGGTGGCTGCCAAATTCCTTTTTACCTAGAAGACTCCAAACCAAGCCTTGGATAAGAGTCATACACGGGTAAGCCACCAAAAAATTAGCAAATTGATGAGTCCCAC